TGATGTCCTCTTCATTTCTTCTTTTAGAGTCCTTTTATTCTAGGTACTTTATTTTAGATATTTTCCATTATTATGTTAAGTTCCATGCCATTTTATTTTGCAGTATCTTATCTTCTGTTACTCCCTTCCAGTTTATCTTTCCTTTTAAGATACTGTATTTTTTTTTCTTGAAGTTTGATTTGGATTTTTTTATATTTTCCATTTCTCTCCTCATTGTATGTTTTCTTCCTCCTTTTTGAATATATGGAGTATACTTAAATGCTTCCAATATTTATCATTGTTTCTTTTTTCTTTTTTGAAATTAAACTTTATTTATTTATTTATTTATTTATTTATTTATTTATTTATGGAGCTTTGTTTGTTTGTTTGTTTGTGGTACCAGGAATTGAACCAGGGACACTTAACCACTGAGCCACATTCCCAGCTTTTTTTATATTTTATTTTTTGAGACAGGGAGTTACTGAGTTGCTTAGGGCCTCACTAAGTTTCTAAGACTGGCTTTGAACCTCTGACCTCCTGCCCAAGCCTTCTGAGCTCCTGGATTACAGACATGTGCCACTGTACCTGTCTCATTGTTTCTTTATAAATGATTTTTCTCTTGCTTAGGTCATATGTTCTAATTTCCTTCAGTCAATTTTTTTCTTGTTAATTGATATATTAAACTTATATATATTTATGGAGTGATGTGTTGATACATATATACATTGTATAATGTTGAAATCAGGATAAAACACTCTCCCCAAACACTTATCATTTATTTATGGTAAATATATGCAAAATCTTTTCTTCTAATTTTTTAAAAAGAGTATGCAGTATATTATCATTGTCTATAATCATCCTACCATGCAACAGAACACTAAAACTAGTACCCATTAATCAGCCATTTCCCTTCTCTCCATCTCCTCTTCCCTCCACAGCCTCTGGTAACCATCATTCTACTCTCAACTTCAATATGATAAACTTTTTAGTTTGAATGAGATCATATGAGACATGTCTTTCTATCAGGAGCCTGTTTTACTTCACATAATGACCTCAAGTTCCATCCATATTGTATGAAATGATATGATTTTATCCTTTTTATATGGTTGCCTAGCATTCTGTGTGTTTATCCACCACTTTCTCTTTATCACTTCATTGGTTGTTTCCATTTCTTGGCTGTTGTGAATACTGCTGCAATAAACTTGCATGTGCAAATGAGTCTTTGCCAGACTGATGTTTTTCCTTTGGATATATAGTCAATAGTGGCATTGTTGGGTCATATGGTAGTTCTCTTTTTCATTTTTTAAGAAACTTCTGTACTGTTTTCACAGTGGTTTTTCATTCCCACCAATGGTGTGGAATGCAAAGTTTCCCTTTTGCTCATGTCCTCACCAGCACCTATTGTCACTTTGACAATAGCCATCCTTACTGGAGCAAGGTTATATTTCATTGTGTTTTGATTTATATTCCCCTGATGATGAGTGATGTTGAACACTTTTTCATATACCTGTTGGCCACTTCCTTAGGAAAAAAAATGGCAATTTTAGTCTGTTGCCTATTTTTGAATTCAATTATTTGTGGCTTTTTTTTCTTTTTTTCTGTTGCTTTGAGTTCCTTGTCTATTTTGGTTGATAAGACTTTGTACAATGTGTGTTTTCCCATATTTTCTGCCATTCTGTATTTTGTCTCTTCACTCTGATAATTGTTTCCCCTGTTGGGCTGAAGCTTTCTCATTTGATAAAATCCATTTATCTCTTTTGGCTAGCTTCCTATGTTTTAAGGTCTTTTAAAAACAAACAACAGGGGCTGGGGTTGTGGCTCAGTGGTAGAACACTTGCCTAGCAAGTGTGAGGCCTAGATTTAATTTTTAGCACCACATAAAAATAATAAAATAAACGTATGTGTACATCTACAATTAAAAAAATTTAAAACAACAAAACTTCTTGCCCACTCCAATTTCCAGAAGCATTTCCCCTATGTTCTCTTCTAGTAGTTTTGTATCTTATATTTATGTCTTTAAACAATTTTGAGTTGATATTTATATATGGTGAGATACAGGAGTCTGGTTTGAGTCTTCTGCATGTGAATATCCATTTTTTCTAGTGCTAGTTATTGAAAAGACTGTCCTTTCTTCAGTACATGTTTATAGCATCTTTGCCAAAGATCAGCTGGCTATAGATATGTGGGTTTACTTCTAGAAACCCTGGAGTTTTTTAAATAGATATAATATAGGAAGTTTGATTTTCATGAATGCTGGGTTTTATTTTAGTTTAGTTTTAGACTTTATTATGGCATGTAGTTGCTTGAAAAACAAGTTTTCAAAGCTTAATTTTCAGCTTTAAGTTATATCCAGAGTGGCATTTAACAGGATAATATAATACCATTACTACCTAAGGCAATACTCTTTTAGGATTCCACCCAGTGGTCTGTGGGCTGCAATATCTCTCTTCTGTCTTTTGGGGAAAAAAAAATCCATGCTTTGTATAAGCTCTAGACCTTATTTAGCTTATTGAACTTTGACTGTATTTTCGCCATTCATCTCCTGCCTCAGTAGTTTCTTCTAACACATGCTGAGATCAGTACTGTGCCAAATACTCAAGGAGACCTCTGTCCAAACGTCCAAAGTGTTCTTATTCTCTCTCTATGAAACTCCCTCCTTTACATTCTTCCCTACAAATTTAACCTCTTTAGATTGCCTGAATCTTGATCTCTGTCTCTGGTAATTTAACAATACCCTCTGGCCTGCATGGGTTTTCCCGTGCTCATCCTGTGGCCTGAAAACTACCATAAGCTGCAAATGGGGGCAGCCAAAGCGGCTCACCTCATTTCTTTCTATTCTCTTAGGGATCTTTATCATGAATTTTGCCTAGTTTTTGAGTTATGTAAAGTAGAAGGCAACACTGACTTCTGTTACTTTATCATGAATAGGAGTAGAAGCTCTAACTTGTTAGAAGTTTGACAAAAACGTAGGTGTGAAACATTTTGTGCCTTCACACAAATTAGCAAGATTGCTTTTTCTTGGAGTCCCTGCCTAATTTGATCTGAATCAGCATGTCTTTTTTCATAGACACTGATACAGTTATGGAATAAATTATCTTCAACATTTGCAAGTAAGGAGGATTAAATTTGCATCATAAATAGTCCTGAAAACTTGATATGTTGTCCAAGTTGGTTATAATAACACCTGCAGTACTCCAGATTTCATTTGAAATAAAATATCACCAAGATGTTTCAAGAACATCACTGGAGAAACAATCTAACTATCTGACATGAATATCAGATCATTCCTATTAATTCATTTCATTAACAAATATTGAAGATTCAAAGATGAATAAGGTGAATAAAACATGGTTTCTGCTTTTCATGGAAACTATACTCTATAAGAGGAAACAAATGCTAATGACTAAACTAGAGTAGGATATAGTAGAATTTTTGGACAAGGACATCAGTTGAGGGATATGTAAAGTGACACAGAAACACAGAGAAGGGTGGAAAGGATGTATTCTTTATGGAAGACACTACTGCCTATCATCTGTTCATGTATTTACTTAACACTATGTTAAGGCCCAACAATGCAATTACTCTAGAGGAGAGATGGCTCTTCAGTAATCACAGTTTAGTGCAGTAGAAGCTTTGGCTGAGAGGAAACGAAGAGGAAGTGGATGATCAGGGAATCCTTCTAGAGGAGACTGAACCTAACACAGAAAAAGGCTCACAGCAGAGAGCATCCTGTTCTGGGAATTCAGGTAATACAGTGTGACAAGAGCATGGATATCAAGTGGCAGCTCTGCGGGAAAGAAGGTTGCAGAGATAGGTAAGCAGGTAGATCATCAAGAACTGGCTGGGTTCTTCTATGATGTTTAGCTGGAAATAGGAAACATTGAAAGCGTGTGTGTGTGTGTGTGCGTGCATGTATGTGTGTGTTAAATGAGGAAACAGCGATGATTTGTGTTTTAGAAACTTTATTCCAGTGATAGAGTGAAGGATGAGTAGAAGGAAATGAAAGAGACCAATAGGAAGCTAAACTGATTCAACAATCCAGGAAATAAATGATGAGGAACCACGCTGAGGGAGCAAAGGAAGAACTGGAGATGAGAAGTTCAGGGGAGGGCCTATGGAATTGTTTAGGAGATCAACAAAAGGACATGTCTACTTAGATGTGGAAGGTGATGGAGAGAACAGGGTTATGGTGACTTCCAGTTTTTAGGCCCAGTGGACTAAGTGTACCCAGTAAGGGCTGTTAATCCCAAAAGGGCTTTTATACTCATGAAATACAAGTAAAAGTAACAGGTTCCAGTCATACTTTTCTTGGTTTTTTGAATTTGTTTTTGTGTCTTATCGACAGTAAACTAATAGAGTAGTATATGTACATACTTAAAATAAGTGAACAGCAACATATTGCAGGGTATGCTTAAATACTTTCTACCAGGATTTTGTAATCCAAAACCTTGGAGACTCTTGAAACAAGGAAGAGTGGATTTGGAGTTTTTTGAGACCTTGAGGTGCTTGTAGGATGTTTGAGCAGTAATTTCTAAATGCAGGCAGGACTTTCCAATAGAGCCTTCTGCCCCCATATCACAGGAATGCTCTAAATATATCCAACATCGTAGCCTGCAGCCAGACATGGCTATTAAGCACTTAAAATATGGCCAGTGCAACTGAGAAACTGAATTTTTCATTCTGTTTAATTTAATGTATTTAAATTTAAATAGCCTCATGTAACTAATGGCTACAATATTAAAAAGCACAGACCTAAAACTTAGGGGAGAGACCTGAGGCTTTCATTTATTGAGTGCTCCCATTGGCAAAGCGTTTTTATATACATCTAAAATAACTTCATCATACTAGTTGCCCTAATGAGTATGTGGTGTTAAAAAAATAGTAAGTTCTTAGTTTACCCTTTTGTTAGTGAAAGATAAAAAGCACATTTGCTCTCCCATACATATACTTTCTCCATACTCTGATAATAGGTATTTATGTATCTTTCACAACCAAATAACAATTTTATATTTTTCTTTCAGGTGGTTTGCTCTGTTAGAGATTCAAATATGTATTATTTTAATACTTTATAAATATGACTGTACTCTTCTGGACCCATTACCAAAACAGGTAAATGTATTCAGAATCTTGACTATAATGACAGCTTTCAGATTTAATATAAGCTCTAGTCCTTGGTTTTAAATTCTAGAGATGAGCCGACTGATTTCCTCACTTTGGCCTGATCTAAACATGTACCTTAGGTGGAACCAGACTGAGAACACACTGGGTCCTTTTAATTCAAGATCTAATCAACACCAGGATCTAATAGTGTTTCTACTACTTCCAATTTTAGGGGGTCCTCAATAGATTTACCAACTTTTACCCTTTTCCCTAGGTTAAGTAAACATGGCCTTAAATTTGACCCCTTTTCCCTAGAAAGGAATGTTTTCTTTGGTACAAAAGTGAATCATCTATTTTGGATGCAAGTCATAGCCCTTGGTCCATGTGGAAAGCAATAGCTTGGAAAAAAGTCAGCTCCCTATAAAACTAAAGAGCAGAAATAAAAAGGTTGTGACTTTACACCTACCTCTGACCATTGAGTGTTCCAGTCATTTAACTCCCCTGTGCACCTGTTCTTCTCGACCTGTGGTTCCCAAATTGGCAGGAGCTTCAGAATCACTTAAAGGGCTTACAAAATAGACTGCTGCCCCATCTCTTGAGCTCCTTCTCAGTAGTTCTGGAGACGGGGTCTCTATTATTTCCATTTCTGATAGGTTCCAAGTGCTACTGCTGCTCTTGGTCTGGGTACCACACTTTGAAGATTCCTTCATAAGTAATAAAGGCAAGTTCAACTTAATTCCAGATGTTTGGAAGTCATTTTAAAAACTCTGGATAAAAGGTGCTGTCTAATCGATGCCAGGACCTAATAGTGTTTCTACTACTTCCAATGTTAGGGGCTTAAACAGAAATTAAGCAGCACAAGTTCATGGCTAGCCATATAACATTTTGTGCTTTCATTTACTCTTCATATAATAAGGCTAATATACCAAGGATAACTAAAACTCTTGATATTTCAGTAGAAATTATGTGGGTGTATAAGTGACATAAAATATATTTCAAGCATGCACATTTCAGCATTTTCCTTAGACTTCTTTTGCACTTGTATTTTAAGTTCAAGTAACTACTAGTGATGAAGAGCTCTCAAAATTTACACTGAAAGGCAACTCTAAACCACCTCTCACAAAGTCCTCAGCTGCCTGCTGTATTGTTCAAAATGAAGATCAGAGGCAGGTTAGATTTCACAATTTTTTCCCAGGACTGACAATATCCAGCTATTTTTCTGCCTGCAAGAGGAAATAGGAATGCTTCACTGAGATGACATTTGTCAAAACCAGAGAGATCAATAATTTGTATCATCTACGTAGGCAAAATTTTCTCCTAGTACTTTCTTTCTACATAAGAATTCCATTAGCTACACTTTCCTAGACAAGTTTTTGTACATCTTATTTATATTCTGATGACACTAAGAACATTATTAAACAAATGTTATCTCAGTTTGAAATAAGTACAAGTTGAGGTGGATTTTTATAATCTCAAAGAGCAGTTCATTTCACAATCCTTATTCTAGGAAGAGAAAGATCAATGATTGGAGTTGCTTTAATAAATTGTAAAACCAGGTGATCAATACAAATGCAGGATATGACCTTCAAACTGCCAACCTCTTAGAAGGAGGAAGTGAGCTATCAGAAGTATCTGAACACTCTGTGGTCAGGTGCAGTGCCTGACAGTTTTAAATCAGTGCCTTGGAAATGGACTTGGAAATCTGCTTCCCCACAGGAGTCTACCTGCCCTAGTAGCAAAAATCAAACTGTAGATTCTCCAGTTTTAATTTTTAAAACATTTCAGTGTTTTATGTGTTGAGGTTCTAGGGATCCAATCAAGGGCTTCACGGGGTTCTAAGCAAATGCTGTACCCCTGAGCTACATCTCCAGCCCCCCAATGTTTTATTTTATCTCAGAGGGTTGTGAGAGATTATTTTAGTTTCAATTCCCTCCCAATATGAACCAATCAATGAGGAAACACTATGAAGTAGAATCCGTGATTGGCAGCAGGTTCCTGATCCTGGAAGTGGGGGCTGTTCCATTTTGAACATTTTGCTACTGTAGTGGATTTTTACTGGTTTGACTGTTTTTGTTCCATTTTATCTTTTGGGGGGGTCACAGATTCTAAAAATATTTTCACAACACTTATGGAACCCCTTCTAGAAAAGTACATATTTCTTTATACAAAATTGTGGGTACAATTTCAGTGAGCTTGTGGAACCCTGCTCCTCATTCTATCAACTCTCCTGAGAATTGCCTTGCTAAGGAGCCCATTCTGTGCCCTACCTCCTCTTTCCCAGCTCCCCATTACCACCCCCTAAACTCTCAAAGTCTATAGAACAGGATGCTTTTCATTTTTAATTTCTTAAGTACCAAAAATCTTTATTGTATTCTTAATACGCTTACCTCCGTTCACCCCCACACATATTCATACTTTGTTCAGAACTCAGGGGAAAACAATTCACAATATTTGGAACCCGTCTTTTTGGAACATCATGGTTGTAAGTACACTGTAATCATGGTTTATACCAACTCTGGAAGCTTTTTAAATACCTTTAACACACACAGAGCTCTCAGCTAACAATTGTAAATGAGGTGGTATAGCTTTTGAGCCAGAAACGTAGAAGGAGCCTTATTGATATCCTCTTTAGTCAGGGAAATTGAAGGGAAGATAGCAAGCAGGCCCATGAACTTGGGTGTGTGAATTTGAAGAGATTGTTATCAGAATAAGGTATTTTCTTTTTCTGCTTCTTCAATGAAGGCTAAAGTTGATGCTTGAGGAGAAACTCTCCAATGCAAACAGTTCCCAACCTTCACAACTGAAGTTCAGTTCCTTTTAGAGAAAATTGCAATTGAATAAACTTTAAGTCACTAGCTTATGTCTCTTTTCTATTTCTTCTGTATTTTTGTTTTTAGAGTTATCTCCATTTGGTGGGTGTCCCCCAGCCAGATGATCAATGCCGAATAGAATATAAACAAAGAATATGATATCTGCGGGGGCTCAAGAGGACCAGAGCCTTCTGGAAGAGAGATGCCCCCCACTCCTGGCAGTATCCCTGACACTAACCTGGCAGCACCTCCACCTGAGCTCTGCTGAAACATCCTGCTTCACTTTGTTTGGGGATTTAGTTCAAGAAAATATCCAATAGTACACGTTTGATATCTTCAAAACTAGGAATCTGACATCATTTCCTGTGAATATATGATCTATAGCAAGTTTTTTTGCTTTAAATTTTTATTAGTGTATTATAGTTATTCACAATATTAGGGTTAATTTTGACATAATCATACAAACATGGAATATTATTTGTTCCAGTTCAATCCCCAGTACTCCTCTTTCCCTGCCACCCTCTCTCCGCCTGTTCCCTTTCCTCTACTCTACTGGTGTTTCTTCTATGTAGTCTCAGTTTATTTTAAATCAGTGCCTTATAGATATACATAAAGCTGAAATGCACTGTGGTTTATTCATATATGTACTTAGGATAGTTAGGTCAGTTTCATTCCACTGTTCCTCCTTTTTCCCATCATTTCCCACTTTCCTCATGAAAATAGAAGAAAGGTCAGTGGAAAATGTTGAAATAATTAGAAAAAGCATTTTGAAGAGTTGGAATTTAGTTTCTTATGCAACTGTATTATAACTTCAAATAGAAACAAAGTCATTCGAATGGAAATCTTAGCACATAAAATTCACTTTGAAGGCAGCACACAAATTTCTATTTTGAAAAAAATTAAAAATCTTAGATATTAAACAATTTAATGATTTCTAAAGTTTTTCTACTTTTTATATGATTCTTAGCTAGCAATTGGAATTCTTAGGCTCTATTAATATAATTCTTTATTATAAATGGATCTAATGCTAAAAGCATGAAGTGATAGTTTTCTAAGAGCAGTGAGGAGAGGGATCATGTCTTACACTCAACTTTGTACTCTGCTATGCCTAAGACAGCATCTTCTCTACAGGAAATATTTAATAAATGCATTTTGATTGATGTATTGATTTGTGTTTTAATAAAGGTGGAAGCACTCACTTTACTCAAGGTGTTTACAATTATAGTTCACAGAGATGACATTTTTGCTCTGAGTGGAAATTCAAATATAATGGTATGTCAAGGCCAGATATGTAGAAGGAGATTTATTCATGGTATCCTCTTCAGCCAGAGAAAATGAAGGGTACACAGAGCATTTTCATTCAACTGCATTTGAATCTATTACTCAGTAGTTTCAAGTGTGAAATATTTGCCATGAAATTCAGAAAAGAAGCCCTATCATGTTCAGGGGAAACATAATAACAGAGAAAAAATGATGTCATGATGTATCCTCCATTATTCAAAGAAAATGCTGTTTGCCTCCTTTATTTCACAGTAAGCTTTGAAGTGCACATTGTCCTCTAGGTCTATTTGCTTGCCTGTGCTAGAATCATCTCAGGGTGTTGATAATTATTGCTTAGTCATTTATTTCCTACCAATAAACACATGATTCCCCAGGAGAAAATTAAGTACTTTGAGGGCATTAACTCTCCCAGACTAATGTCATGATTTTTTAGCCTAGCTATCAACTCACAGCTTTGCTTAGCAGTCTCAGGGTCTGGAGCTGGAAGGGGCTGAAGAAAGCAGGTTAGAGTCCTCAGCAGCTCTGAGAGTGCAGACTGCAACCTAGCAAGTTCTACTAAGTATGACAACTGTTCTGAGGGAAGGTGTGTCCTCCCCACAGCAAGGCCCACAAAGAAACGCTGTATTTGCAGAAATATCTACTTCAGCTAATTGCTTCAGTGCTAGTGTTTATCTGCATATTCTTGCTGGGTAAGGAAGAATGTTAGCTGACCAATCTACACATTTTAACACAGAATGCTGACATAAAGGTCAACATCTGTTGACCTTTGGAATCATGAAGAATTAAGACCACTGTACTTGGAGGTCTCATATGTCTTTTAATTCCCTAGCCTGAGGTTTTATGTGACATATTCATAATTTCTGACTTGGGGTTTTAGATAATATCTTATATATACATGTATTCATAATATATAGTAATAATTTATTATATATTTTGTATATGCATCATATATAATAATTTATTATGTAGAATATTAATTTATTAATACATCCTCATGTGTTAACTGGGATTTTCTGAAATCAGAGCCTGAGACAAAGATTTGTGTGCAGAATTTATTTGGGAGGTGCTCCCAGGCAGCAGAAGTAAGTCATCTAGTCAAAGAGTTGTGTAATTAACGTATATTGTAGCATATACAATACCTCCTAGCTTTGTCCACCTGAAGTATAATAGGTAGGAGGGGCTCTTGACTGGCTCCTTTTCCCCACTGATTAATTATTAACTACTCCTGGGGATGTTAATCCTGCAGTGCATTTATGTATGTGTGTGGAAGGCAGGTGGTGGGTGGGTGAGATCCTATAGTGGGACTCTGCTTTTTTTTACTTCTTCATTTTTGCATTGAGCATCTCATCTTTTTAGCTTTCAAATTGGGGGTTAACTTGCCCTGTGACAGAGCACATGATCATTGGAAGTTGTGACAGAACTATACTGGTCCAGGATTGCACTGGACCTGATAATTAAGTACATTAGATCCACTCGGAGGTCACAGGTGCCTGACAGGGTTGGACTGAAAGCAGCAATAAATGGCAATTACTACAAAAGGTATGAACTCTGGCTTTAGGGAATTTGCAGGGACTTTATCTATCCTCTTGCTTTATTTTCTTGTGCACTGAAGTAAAAGAACACTGTTTAAAAACTGACAAATGAATAATCAATGAAAACTGTAAGATCCTGTCTGGGTGTGCATTACATGTATGTGATTTGTCATCAAAATACATGAAAAGGCTCTGACTTAGAGAAAACAAAACAAAACTTGAAGATTTGAATCAAGTCATTAATTACAATACATACATTTCTAAATGTAAGTTTACTAAATAAGTTTATCTCTTGGATATAAAAGGCCACGAAACCACGGGTCTAGAAGCCGAAATAAGCAATAAGAGTGGATTCCTTGATGCATATCAGCCATGAGAGTGAAAAGAGAGAAAAAGGGAAACATGTTTGACATTTTGATCTTTGCTTTTCGGTTTCTTTGCCTCTGTGATATTTGTGACTTTGGTTTGAGCCTCTCAGGTCTGGGGAGGTGGCCATGGTAAGACCTAGGTACATGTATGTCTCTGTGGCACCTGGGCTTCCAGCCACAGGGTGGGTCCAGGCCCAGCAGGGTCCCCTGTGTCTTCTCTGGCCCAGTTAGGCTTCCTTGCCTTGCTGGAAAGAGTCAGATCCTCCAGATAAGCCCATACTCTGTCCTGGGCTCAGAATCTAGAGTGTGAACTAAGGACCCAGCTAGTCTTGCTCTTTGTAGCTATCCTGGGTGCCACGTAGGTGCTAGGGACCCAAGACAACTGGGGTGGAGGTATTGATGAAGGACCTGTGGCTGGGCCTCTCAGAAACCTTGGTTAGGTCAAGACTGTCTGGTGCAGTTTTAGCTTGGTGTTGCTATTTCAAAAGAAAAATAAAATTAAAGATGGCTATCTTTGTTTTTAATAAGCTACTCAAACATAATTATTAAAAAATGAATAAATTAGGTAAATATAACAGCATAAATGTTTATAAATTAACTCTTCATGTTTCAAAAAATATATATTTTTTGAAACTTGAAACCTTAAGATGAAATTAAGTAAGAGGCAACTCACTAGATGTCTGGGTCATTTCTGAATAAGTTAAAATACTAAAAATGTTAATTACTAAGCATAAGGTTATGTATTTTAGCAACTTGTTTTTATATGGCATAGAGTAGCTAGATATTTTTGGGTCTGTTAATTAAAAACATGTTTCTTAAAATTATAAAAAAATGCTGAACAGTTCAAAATTTCTTACTATTTATGTTTTCACTAGAAATTAAGATTTCTAAGAATTAAAATTCTAATTAGTTTATAGTAATTAAAGCTAAAGATAATAAGGGAAACTAAGACGTCTTTGGTGAGGAAAGGTATAAGGAAAGCACGAGAGTGTGTTTGTTTTGTCTAATTGGAGGTGATTCCAGAATGAAGGAAGGAAGGATTCTATACATCTCCAGTGGTTGTAATTCATAACTTGAAAGATTGATCCCTATGATTGATCCAAGTCAAATTATCTGTGATGACTTAGTAAACAAACCCAGTGGGCCATAATTAGGCCTGGTGAACAAATGAGAGAATTAAAGTTTAGAGAGACCAAGGGACTTACCAAGGTCACACTGCTTGTGGCAGAAGCAAGGACTCTGAGGACAGACCCAGGAACTCTGGCTGTGAACTTGCCCTCATGCTATTAAACTGCATTCTTCTTAAACGGGAATACATCACCTACAAGAGACAGCAACTTGACCCTGCGGTGGTCATAATTTACACTGTGGTTCTCTCCTCACTCTTGCAGGAGAAGTGCTCAATCTGTTGAGTAGCCTATATTACAGAAGGGAGAGGGCAAGGAGCCCTGCAGTCTGACCCATTTCCTCCCCCAGTTTTATTCCCTAGAACCTTCCCCCACCACCTTGCGGGAACTGTGCTACAGATTGTGGGAGGGGCCCTTCACCACTCGAAAAGAAAAACACTTTGGGAAAATGAATCTTCTGAGTGTGGGCATATATGTGTCAATATATGAACAAATGTTATATGTTCAGATGATATGTGATAGCAATGTGTTGATACATTGTTAATTGACAGCAATTGGATATGTGTGTGTGTGTGTGTATTTTTTTAGTAGTATTCTACCTTGTTCCTTCACAAAAATACCACAGTCATGTCCCCCAACAGGCCATAGGGTAAGGAATCTTATGAATGTTCTCTTTTGATGGAGACAGGAACTAGCTAAGTACAGAATAGCCTTAGTTGAAACCTTGTCTTCAGGTAACCTTGCTTTTAGTTATTTTGTAATTCTGGAAAGAATTATAAAGAAGAGACCTAGAAGGGGGATGTGCTTTCTGCTTCACAAAGCATATGAACTCTCCTCTGATTTTGATGTTGCTATTGTTGGAGATAAACATGCACAGAACCATAGAACATGGTCAGAGAACCAGCCTAACATCCTTTACTGCTTAAGAAGTTAAAATCTGAACAGAGAAACGTTGTGTTTGGAGCCCTGGTGGGATATTCAGTGACTGGTAAAGACAAAACCCTACATGAGACTGTGTAAATGAATGATTCTTGCAGGACAGAAAACCATGGAACACATGAGCAACGTTCCAACTTCTATTGGCAGCAAAACTTTTCATTCTACAACACATTAATTTACAGATCCCCTAATGAAAGCAAACTGGTAACATCCATCCAGTGGTCCTCATTTTCCTCATTTAGGTGACTATACATTATTGTTTGCAGAAGCCATTTCACACCTGCAAGGTCCTGGGTGTGGGAAAAGCACATTTTGAAAACACTGGACCTCTGAATGTCAGCCACTTTCCCACATTTCCCAGGACCTTGACAGCTACGCCGGGCTATGTGAATGGTTTGGGCAAGTGGGTTGTAAGTAGAGGTGGAGGGTGTCAATTTCAGGTGGAAACGTGTAAGTAAATGGCCTCACCCCTACTTCCCTGATGCTGTGATGGGGACTTTGCAGCAACAAGAAGGCAGAACCTCCCTCAGCTGGGGTCCCTGAAAGTCAGTGAGGAGGAAGAAGTCCCCTTCCACAACCCACACTGGGCACAGCATAAGTGAGGGGCAGTGATGTTGGCTACCACAGCATTAACCAGCCTGCCTGAATAGTACTGCAACTCAAATTCTGATTCCTACTCTTTATGCCTTTGGTCCTCATTTAGAAGAGCAAAGTTTCAGCCTGCTGAATTCCAGATCAAGGGTGTCAATGTGATTGTACTAAATGTTTTATGGACGTACTATGCAATGATATTTCTTAAAGTTATAACACTAAAGTGGAAATTATATCTTGGTTATTGGACTTCATTTTCTGAACAATTGATTGGTTTATTAAATAGAAAAGAATTCCCACCCAAAATAGTCTCTGAATCACACAGA